AAAGAAGGAGAAAAGGCAAACAAAATGGGGAGATGAGTGACAAAATTTAAATACACGAAAAAATGGAAACATAACTCTGCCAGATAAGAATGGAGGAAATCCTGCAAAAACGCAGAGAGGGTTAAATTAGATCAATTTCTCCGAACTAAAACAGCCAAAAGCATGGCAGACGCGGTTGGAGTCATTTTATTCCATCAGCTTTGCTGCGGATGTATAGATTTAAAGAAACACAGCAGTTCTGAAGAGCATTATCTGACTGAAATTTTATCTTTTGCTCTCCCCATTGCTAAATCCTGAACCAGCCTACGGTCTGAGCTAAAGAAGTGAGAGTCTCTGGGCAATCCGGAGAGAACGTGCAAAGAAAAATAGCCGAATAAGCCTCTCTCTGCATGCGTCAGCCTTGTAAAATGTTATGGGAAAAGATCTTATTGGCAACAGGGGGTTGAACAAAGTGTTGACAGTGGGGGCTCCAATCATTGTTGAAGGCAATTATTCCCTAATGTAATTTTCCCCGTTAAATAAATGTTCTCGACATGTTTGAACGTGAGGCTGTGCTTCTGCAACATAGGACAAATTTATTTAAAGATTATTACACATTACCAACCTGGGGTGCCAATCTTAATGGATGGTTGTGAAGGTAATTATGATCACAGCAGAAAATTTTAAGGAAGCGATTCGTCACAGCTGTCTTTTTAGTATTATTATTATTTTCATTATTATTATCAAAGTAACAGCAGTGATGGTATACTATTCTCTTCATTTCAGCTCATTTGCAGCTGATGCCCTCTTGACTCCAATATTGCGACATGTCTTTAGCGGTGTTGTCGATCTGCGGAGGCCAGTAAAGTAAAGCTGAGTGAACGGTTGACCAATGTAAGAGACAGACAGATGAAAACATCTTGTGCTTTAAATCGTAAAGAAAAGACTAAGAGGATGAGGTCATGAAGCAGGAAAATGGAGATTAAGAAGGGCAGGAGGTGGTTAAGTAATAAAATGCTGAAATTTCAGGATGGGACGCAAATTATGCCCCACGCATATTTTAAATCAGACGATTTAAAGGCGCAGCATCGGTCACAAAATAAAACCTGCCCGAGCTAAAAGCAATTTTAGAAAAAGAACACTGTTAGTTATGGAGACGGCTTAATAATCTTTCGTTTAGAAGTCCCAGTATGGAGCGACAACCGGAGCAATACCTTTGTTTGTCCTCTGGCTTAAATGCACCCTCATCTGAATTTAATGTGATTCATCTGCAAAGGAGCAGAGAGGGGAAGTGCCGCAGGATGGAAATCCAGTTGATGAACGGTGCGGCTTCGACTCGATGTGGGATCTCTCCCCGCAACATCCACCCTCCTCCACAAAACGGATACTGCTGGGTCGTCTTCGTCCCACTCGATCTGTGGCTTGGCCTTTTAATTGAGTTCGTTCGGTCAACATTACATAGTCTGTGACAGTGTATACGTTTTTGCATGCTTATCATGAGAAATTCACTCCAATTAAAAGGGAACCTGGAGAGGCATGCAGTCTCCAGGTCAAGCTTTATATGACTTTACGATAAGAATAATGAGGGATGTGGATTTTTTTTTCTTACCCCGACTTATTTTGAAATACATATCTCATAGGACAAAGCAACTTATAATTCATCACACCTGCACTGAATTGTGGTGGCATCTCACATTTCAATGCAAGACAAATGGTACAAGCTGGTTTCCCACCAAACAACCAACCAAGACACTTCCACTAACCATTCATCATTGATTCTTGGTTATAAGATTTGCGGTATGATTCAGAAAGGCTTGGCTCTGACAGCTAGATAACGACGCTAATTGTTTACTTGACCAATCAGGAACAAGAGCTCACGTTGGTTCCTTCACAAAATATCAAGTGTTTGACTGGGAGAAGGAACTTCTTGATTTCTGTTTTGGTCTATGCCTCAAAATAAAAGCAGCGAATGAGTCACAAGGAAAGAGTTCCAAGTAACATGTTGCCGATTGATGCTAGTCAGTGACATCAGCTTGAAATAAACCAGACACAGGTTAGAAAAACACATGGGTTTTAAAATACATGGTATCTAAGCAGAACACGCACATGGAGGCCTGTAGTTAACATTGCAGATATTTCCCATTTATCCGGTAAAACAGCATCTTTCAGCAAGAGGCACTAAAACTGTGAAGGCTACAGTAAGGGAGAAAAAAGCTGATGCCCCTGGTGCTGGTTCCTTTTCTTATTCATATTCTGTATATGCAGGTAATCGTATATGCTCGATGCAGTAACTCAGCTAAGGGGAACAAATGACCCAGGAGTTCATGTAGACTCATAATCTTCAGCGCTATAATGGCCGGCCCAGGCATTAATAACCATACTCCCATGGAAAATTTGATCAGTCTGCCTCTCTGCGCACTCAACCTTTTGTTCATACTAGCAAGTTATGACTCTGCAGAAAGTCGCAGTTACTGACACAGATCTTAAAGGAGGGGAAATACTGCGAGGGCGCCGCTGCATCGAGGTTAATCAAACCGACTTTTTTTTATGATTTGGTCAAATTAAAAAGATTGTAAACCGTCAAAACTGTTGTGAAACTGCTGCCTGGTCCAGCACTATAACTGTGTTATGAAACAGTTCGAAGGTGAAGAAAAACTATTTATAGCAATGTAATTCAGTGTGTATTCAGTGTACTAAAATTTCTGCGTAATGCTATTTAAAAAAAAAAAAACGCTGGTTCTGTCTTTTGTCATTAAAATAGTCACATGTCCAAAACAGATAGATGAAGACCAAGCTAAAACAACAGTGGAAATTTTCTGGGTATTTCAGGTGTGTGTCCCAATTGACTATCAATTGGTAAAGACACAGAAAGTAAAGATGGTGAAGTTTCTACCTTAAAGTTTGAGTCCATACAGTCGAGACTGAAGTTGAGAAGTCAGGAGAAGCGTTACCTCAGAGGAGTACTGCTTTTTGAGGCATTAACATCCATCCTGAGTCATTAAATCAGAGGTAACCACTTTACATGCAAACAGAATCGTAGCCACATTAGCTCAGCAACAAGCGGATCAACAACAGATGTTTCTGAAAAGCATTAAATCAATTGGACTGCATTGTGATGCTGACCCATTACACACTCCACATTTATATTTAGCATTGCTCTGTGTGTGTGTGTGTGTGTGTGTGTGTGTGTGTGTGTGTGTGTGTGTGTGTGTGTGTGTGTGTGTGTGTGTGTGTGTGTGTGTACGTGTGTGTGTACGTGTGTGTGCGTGTGTGCCATCATTCTGGCTACAGGCTCTTAAAAGCTCACCTGTGCAACAATAGCTTGCAATGACGTAAGAGAAGAAATGGAGAATGACACTGGGTTATTAATTATTTTTTGGAAGTTGTTTTTTTCAACTGAATTAGGACTGTTTTTCACCTCTAAATCCAAAAAATTGACATCCATTTTTTATTTTATTTTTTTCAATCAGGTCAGGTTTTTATCCTAATTCGGTTTAGAGAAATCTGATCTTCTGACTAAATCAAAAGATCAGAAATGATCTGAAAGATCATTCCATTTCCATCAATATTTCTCATCCAAAAAAGGTTTTAGGAGAAAAAAATGTGTTTTCTAACAGAGTGTATGAATGAAATGTTACAAACTTGGATTTCTGTAAATTGAAAAATGACCACTGACAAGGGTATAAGTGTAAATTGAACATTACCTCTTCATTGTGCAAAATTCTCCATGTTATTTCTGTCCTGATGGAGTCTCTCCTCCTGCTGGTCACTCGTTGATCACAGATCCTCAGGAAACTGATCCATCTGTGAGAACAAGTCCTACATTTTGGTGCTATGATCAAAACCAATGGGATTTTTGGATTCAGCACGTCAATATGACCCTAAAACCCCAGACATTTTTTTGGCTGTTGACCATCAGAGGCTTTAAAAAATAAAAACGACGCAGCAGTAGAACATCCGACAGCTTGCTTGCACTGCTTTTAGTTTTCTGCTTGGCTTTTCATAAATTCACCCAAAAAAATAATTATTGTGCTCTGCCTGGAGTCACCTCTCACTGACCACAGTTGGTTCTTTCATCTCCCGTCTGTTCGGTCTTTTCACTACGGTGGCAACTAACTCTGGTGATTAAGAACGAAAATTCTGTCAGGAGTCAAAAGAGGGCAACAAAATATCTACTTTGGCTCTAAGTAAGACCTTTCCCTTAATGTGCAAATTCATGTGTCAGCACGTTTCTCCGTACGCCGAGTCACCAGAAGGCTTTAGCTCAGCAGTTATGCAAGTCTCACTTTGATCCACATAATCAGTCTATTTTACCAGAGGGATTAACGACACCACCCCAAAGAGGTAGGGAGAAAAAGGAAAGTGAAAATACTGATAGTCAGTCTGCATGTATCTCAGTGAAATGACAGGGATAGAAAGCGAGCTACAGGTAGAGGAGAGTGGTCCTTGGCGTAATGTAATCTGTGCAAAGCGCCACAGGATTTCTACCAAAATGCATTGAAAAGAAGACTTGTATATTATAATGCTATTAAGCAACCATGGACTCTTCGTTGTCCAACGTTTTGTAACTGTGTCATTCAGATTTAAGCCTTTAAATCCACGTTTTATAATTGTTTTATGATCATGTTCTCCATAGAGTTCGACCTACTTTGCTGTTTGATCTGTTATTTTTTATTTCTTCCTTTCTTTTTTTTGTCAAGAACCCATTTTCATACATAGGAGCACTCACTAATCTGCTTTGAAAATTAATATAAAGCGAAATATGACTTATTTAGCTTTCATACTTTAAATATTCATAGATTTTCATGCTTAAATTTGTTGCTATGCACTTTAAGAAAATCCCACAAATGCATTAATCAGAAATTTCCCCCCTTAAACTTTGAAGATCAAGGCTTCCTGAGTGCCTACAAAGCCAAAACCTGACAAACTTTCTTTAGCTTTGTACTAGATCTACCACCCAATGTCTTTTTGTTGCTGTTGTTTTTTTATATTATTTTTTTCTCTCCTGTGATCTTTTTCAGAGGAAAAGCCAAAGGCAGAGGGGGAGGAAGAGGAGCCCCTGACAGGGAAAGATGAAGAAGAGCGACGTATAGCAGAAATGGGCCGTCCCATGCTGGGAGACCACGTCAAACTGGAGGTCATCATTGAGGAGTCGTACGAGTTTAAGGTAAGAAAGCTCCGCTTCCCTTTTTTTTTTTTATTTTAGCTGCGGCTTTAATTGGAGCCATGCTGTTTGATTGAGCACATTTATGCCAGGGAGGCTGCTGTTCAGTCAGACTTTTAGACTCTTCCTTTCCTTAAAACTGTATTTTAGTGCCATTTTTTTTTGCAGAATTTGCCCCTCAGGCCTACAGAACTCTTCAGAACACAAAAACTCCTGCTGGATCCAAGTGCTCCTCCGGTTCCAGTCGGTGGATTTTAATTTCGGTTACCGTCCGTCGACATAACGGCATCGAGATTAAAGAGAACAACTTGACCTTGCCCTTCACCTCGACGTGTGGGTGTTTGTGTGTGTGTTTGAGGTGAAATCCGCTCCACCCCATCAGTCTTAGTTTAGTTGGTAATCCGTAAAGTGATTGCAGTATTTACTCATGACCTTGAACAATGAGGGAATTCGGTTACGGAGCAGTTAGTTCAGAGACAGATTAAGGGGGGGGGGAGAAAAATTACATTGGAAAACACCATTAATCATCACTGGGAACAGGCAATGAAACGCAAATAAGATACAGAATCCATCAATGACAAGACTGGTTCATGTTCCAGCCGTCAGTCCTGTCAAACGCTGTTGTCCATTGATTTTGTGCGTCATATTTAAAAAGTTGTCTAAATATTAGGTTGTTATGAAGAAGCAGTGGTTCACCTCACTGGTTTTATTGGATCTGACACGAACCAAGGGAGTCAGCACATCTCTCCAGATCTCTGCATTGCCTGTTGTTGTTTTTTTTTTGTCTGAGGAAGCAGGCATTAAGTTGAACTTTTAAAGCAGAAGCTTTAAAGGTTTATTTAGATATATTTGCTTGGGTTTCTGTAGGACTCTCAATGAAGAGATCTTGATGAAAACCTGCTGAAATATTGATCTGAAGACGGTTTGAAAACCTCACACTGAAAGCACCAACTAGCTTCTGTTCATTAAACATTTTAGGATGTTGGCCACAGTGTGTCAAATTGCATAGAGAGAATGCTAAGCTGAAGATAAGTGACAAAATGTATTAAAGATAACAACAATCAAACCAAAAGTAAAAGATCATTAAAACTAGATTAGGCTGTAAAAGAAATGAAATTAGTAAAATAAGTCATAGCAGCGATTGCTGAAAGATCTTTGACATTTGTGTTGAAATTTTGGCAGAATAAATTAACCAAACGCTCATAAATACCTGCATTATTTGAGTGACGATATGCTCAACCAACCATTGCAAGTGCTTACTTGCAAAGTTCAACGCCAAGAGAATTTACGAATGTACATGTTTGAACTAAAGCATATTTTCTTTTTGTTGTTTTTTTTATTTTTATTTGCACTGCAGATATGACGACGCAGTTTTTCCTTTTATTTGCGCTGCGCCTACAAAAATACACACTCGTAATGACCAAACGGTGGAACCTCAGCACTGCTTCAGTGTACACATTTTGGCATCACAGAGTCTGCTAAAGGACAACATTAGCATTGGTCAGAGCCGTGTGTCGAGGACACCAGCTGCCCTGTAAACACCTGCCACTCCGGCTGCCTCTCTGCCCAGCTCCTGGGAGCATTAACTTTCACCCACATTTGGCCTCGAAAGAGAAGCTTTTGCTCTGTGAAGTGGCTTCTGTCCGTCTTTGAATGCTTAGTGAGAAAAGGTCTTGAAAGGCAGTAAGGGGAAACGTCCCTGCATCCATTGTGAAGTTAGTTCATTTCCATGTATGAAGACAAAATGAGAAACATTCTTATTTTCACAGCCAACTTGAAATGAAGTCGTATTGATTGCGCCGCATTAAGCTGCTGCTAAGTTGCACAAATGCCTCACAAAAGCCGCTGCCACATGTTACAGACAATCGAACCTCCTTGAAGCAAACGGGAAGGAGTCGCATCACGTCTCCCACGCACCGACTGAAGACGGGTTTAAGTGTAATTACCATCTATGTTGCATTTTGTGCTGCTCTAATGCATGTTCTCCTGCCGGTCGCTCCACCTACACGCTCACTTCAGACAGACAATTAATAACTCCCAGTAATGGCTTGCTGCTTGACGGGATCCCATACTCCGGCGCAGGAAATTATACTTCTGTGTGCATCTTGGTGGAATTGGATCCCGTAGTTGTCCGAAGCGGTGCCCGTCAGCCGGCTGTGGAATGGCATGGAGTTTGACATGAGGCAACAAGAAGCAGAAAGAAAGAAATGAGATGGATTTCACATTAGTGCTGATTATCCAGCTTATAAGGGGGAAACAAAATGTCGTCTTAAACATTAGAACAGATGACTTTCACATTCCTGCATTTCTTCTGGATTCGCAGCTTTTTCACATTTCCAAAGTTTCACCTTTTTTGTAAAACTCCAAAAAGCAAAGTCAACGTTCACAAATGACACCGAGGCGATGAGGTATTCCACAGACCGTGCTGTCCGTGCACGGATGTTCGCTCCACATGCAACAGAGTTAAAATTGATGGAAGTGTGTGTGTTGTTTGGGAAGGTGGAGCTTCACAGCGGCGGCGAGGCACTGTTTACATCCCCGAGCACCATTCAAGACCATTAGCATCTCATTTTTCTTCAGAAGTGCAGAGAAAGAAAGAGCGCCATTCCCACCGCTCCTTTGATTAGCCTGTGCGAGTGGCTACGTTTGCTCGAGTGTTTGTGTTGACGTAATCTGCCATGATTCCTTACTTTTGAAGGATTAACTGACATCCAAATGCTGAGAAAACATTAAGATCAATCAATCAAAAAGCAGAAAGTCTGAGAGTGAATGACGATGTTTTGGGGAAAATGCAGAAACTGTCAAATATTTATTCTAATAATTAATATAGAGGTACAGAGAAGCTATGTGAACTTCAACAAAAAAGTGCAGGTATAATATATTGTACCTGCATATATTTAAATAAAACCATTTTCACTATGATGCTATTTTTAAATGATAAAATAACAACAAGACGATAATAAAAAAAAGTATAAATATGAGGCGTGAAGGATTCTGAGTTGTTCCTGAAAATAAAATCTGTTTCGAGATGATTTGAAAACGGGTCCGTTGTTTCTTCGAGTGGCTCTAAACTGGTTTCCTCTCGCAGCATCTTTATTTTATGAAGCAACTCTTGGAGTATTTTTGGTGACTTCAAAATAAAACACCAGCAAAGCAAGCAGCTGTAATCTTGTTCAAAGAAGTGATGAGCTTCTTTAAAGGTCAGCACATTTTAGAGGTTTCCTATCGCTCAGCTTTCACTATTATGACAGAATAGGTTGTTATCACAAATACATGTTTAAGTTTAGTTTCTTGTGACGATCTCAACCTTTGATGATGCATCAGATTTGTTGATCATCGTTCATTCATTGTCAAAGTTTCCAAAATCTCTCTGTTGAAGCGTAAAAATGATTTTCTATTCCAAGAATAGAAAACTGGAAATAGATGGAGATTAGTTCCTTGCTTTAAACTGTTTGTATGGTGAAGTTGTTGAATAATAGCAACACTTAAATGAGTGCTTTTTGGTATTTTATATTTTTTTCCTCAATAAGGTAAGTAAGGCAAAATATTTTATTTTTGTATTTTCCATCAACAGGCTGAGTTAGTCATGAAAATTTACTGCATTGCTTGACATGAAGCTGGAATTGAGTTGGCAGTAATCCTAGAAATGGAGCCTTTTTTATTATTATTATTTGAAGTACAATCAGTCGTATAGATTTAAGACCATTTCTTATTGTTTTTTATTTTCCTTCATTGTTTATGTTTTGATTCAGACGGTATCCAATTTCCCTCTTCAGTGACTTTGCTCTATTTTTTTTCCCCCTCTCTCTTTTAAAAGTGATGGTTGGTTTCTGTCTTTTGCTGCTGTTAATTTCAAGGCTCTGACTGAAAGCAATCAGAAGAAATGTTGCCCCTTTGTACCTTTGTAGTTCATGTGATCGTGGCTCCAGCTACTAATCTCACCGGGATAAAGACCTGAAACGGAAATTCCGTCTTCGGTAACAAGAATCGTCTTTTATTTCTTTTTTATTCCAGAACACGGTGGACAAGCTGATAAAGAAGACCAACCTCGCTCTGCTGGTGGGAACCAACAGCTGGAGAGACCAGTTCATCGAAGCCATCACTGTCAGCGCAGGTGAGGCCATAGCAAGCAAAAACTGGGCTTCGCGCTCCAGTATTCCGCTCTCCGCTTTATCTGGACACGCCTAATGATTTCTGTGAAGCGTGCGTTTAATGGGCCCTTGAATTTAATTTACTTTTAATAGGAACAGCTGCGGTTTTACGTCTTTCGAGGCCCCTCGTGCGCTCTGCTTCACGCGTGCAAATGACGAGCACAACCCGAAAGATTAGCAAACTCACGCTTGATGAAATGCAGTGGAGTGATGGCTGGTGGGGTGGTGGTTATAGTTGCTCTCGAATGGTTTTTAACCGATAAACGCTGACTAAATGGGATGTGATTAAAGAAGCTGTCATATAATTTTACCTATTAAGGAGAGAAGAAAAAAGTCCTACAGTTCATTTTGGGTCTTTTGCCACTAATGGCTAAATAAGTTGGGAAATATGAGTTAAATAGCGGACATGTACAGCAGGTAATGTTTTTTTTTTTAATTCACTGCAATACAAAAAGTTCTGGCTTCAAAAAATATCCAAACAGTTTAAAGACGACATGCCCAGCATGAACACAACATGCACAATACTGGCCAATCGCATCCTGAAATAAGTAGACCACCTGAATCTTCATACTCCATTTACGTAAATGTTAAATTATATATTAATGTAATAAATTTTATGCCCATCAAAAGTGTAAGGATGTTTTCACACCTGATAGTCCGGTAGACTCGGTTTCATTGGGAAACAAATTTGCAGCGTTAGTTACAATTTCAGCTGAAGCGGTTCACGTTCAGCCTGCACTGTCGAACAAACCACGCCCTTTTAAAGGCCCTTTCCCCTCCTCACCTGTGGTGGCGCCGCAGCAAGACCCACTGAAGGAAATGACGCAGAAACCTCTGAACAAGACACTGAGAGCAAGTTCTTTTTCATAAAATGCAAACAAAAATGGAGTGGTGTCAGAACTTAGCTAGAGGTTGTTGGTTTTCTCTTTCTCCCGCTAGTGTTTGACTCTCGCATTTGTTTTGGTTGTATTTACCCAGAATGCCCCGCGCTACAGTTGGCTCCCTGCTTTCGAGCGGTTTCCGGTACTGCTTGGCATTCACGTTTGCATTCAAACCGTGCCAGGGAGTTTGCTTTCTTTCGTCTGCGTTAGAGTTTGATTACACATTCACACCTCCTCAAACAAACAAAGAATTTCTTGGCAAACGAACGAGGGTTTAAAGCCGGGCTATTCACCGCCGGTTACACGGCAGAAGACAACAACTTTATTTAAGACTTGGTCCTCACTTTGAGGCTCGGCTGTAAGTTGGTAGCGATTCAGAGCATGCATCCCTTCAGGCCTCAGAGTAATCCCGAGCCCTATCTGCTGCTCGTGTGAAAAGATTAATTGTAAGATAAAGGAAGGTTCGGCGTAGCGCCTCTTGCTAGCACAGCTCTCCATGTTTACAGGCTTGTTATTGTTTACTTGAGAAAATCTACAGTGTCCTCATTATCTGTAGTTTATGCTGTCTGAGCATTTCAAAGGTGAAGGTCGTACCTCAATAAAGGGAGATGCAAAAAATAAATGAATAAAAGCAATTAGTTTTGGCATGTGAACGTACTAAAAATAATTAAATTGATTATTGAAAAGAAATCTTGTTTGTTTCAGACCCATTTATGTAGAATCGTTGTTTGGAAAGCTCATACACTTAAGTGTCTCCAAATTAGTTTGTCTGGTGGGTTTTTGTGTGTTTGTGCTTTTTTAGAAAGCCTGTTCCAGTAAAAAAAAAAAAAAAAACGCTTTACCCTATTATCTGGGATTAGCTTGTCTACAGTGACAGAGTTCAGTGTGTGTGTGTGTCTGTGTGTGTTGAAGCAACAGAGAGAGCACAGTTTTCTCCTTTAATAAAAGCATTTGTTTGGACACATTCTTGGTCTTATGTGGCATAAGAAATCACATTTACAAAAACTACATTTCTGCTTAATTAAATCATTTAAATCCTTAAAGACAACATGCCGTACAAAATCCACATTTCTTGCCCTTAAATACATTTTGTTGTGTGCTTGGAGCATCTAGTTAGATTTAGTCTCTCCGAGTCCTGGGTAGACATCTTTATATTCTGCTTGGATCCGTTCAGTTTTCTCTGTCCCCTGTTAAGTTCTTTTGATTATTACGTCAAAAAGTGCTTTCTGTGGAACTGCTGGAACGGCTTGTTGCCCTTTGGTGGGGGTACATGTCCTAAAAAAAAACTAAGATTTAACCAGGCAGCTTCAAGAAGTTTTCTCCAGCTGTAAAGAAGGATTTTAGAAAAGACGTTGTCTGATTGAGTCGCCTTCTGCTTATGCTAGCTTTTAACTTCTACATAAACAGCTTGTAACTTTTTTGTCTTGGGGAATGATCCAAATGATGCAGTGATGTTCTCGGCGCTAGCGTTAGCTGCTGTCAAACTCCAAAAGTGGGTGGAGCGGGTCAGGATCAGGGTCTGCAGCCTGAAGGAGGCGGGGTGTGAAGTTCCTCGCTCACATTTAAAGATGCGGCACCGAAATGAGTTTCTCTGACGCATCTCAGGAAAGGGATAGATGGGCTTGCGGAGATAAAATAATAAGCAACTGTTTTGTGAGATTTCAGCCCGGCAGTTCATATCTACGACAACCGAATGATGTAAATGTGAAACAGAAGGCTCTAAAAGCAGGATACAGCATATCCACTTTATAACACGCACACACAAAAAAAACATACTTTTGTGCGCACGAGGCAAGGAAAACAGTTTTTTTTTTCTTTTTCCTGGTTATTTAAACATGAAGCCAGATCAAAACTCGGAATTGAACGTTTTTGAGAATGAGAGCTGATTGCATGCTTGAAGATCAAACCAGCAGTTCACCTCCAGCTGTGAAGCCACACACAGAGCGGGGAAAGTGGAGAGGGAGCAGGAGGGCTGCCGAGAGGAATCGGCCTCGTGCTGAGTGTTAAAAGTGAAAACACAGAAATGTTTATGCCTCCATTCTCATTGCAACCTCTCTGGTTGGCATATAATACACAATGCAATATAAATCTCCATATCTGAAATATGTTCATTGTCAGTTACTTGCTCTGTTTTGCTTGGCTAAGAAACCTACATGTAAATCTTCCTTGATGGGAAGAACTAATATTACAAAAATTCAATAAACAAAATAAAATTGAACAGAAAAATGTTTTCTAAATCCCCAGTTTTTGTTTTTCTTGTATAGATGAGAGGCTAATGATTGATCTCTCCACAGATATGAAAAACACGCCATGTCACCTCTACGGATGTAAGTGGATGATAAATTAATGTTATACAATATTAAATGTATAATATGGCTCTGAAGGTAAGGTGATTTTATTCATATAGCACATTTTCAGCAACAAGGCATTCAATGTACTTTACATGAATTAGAAAGAAATGCAAAAAAAAACAACAAACCAAAAGAAAGACAAAAAGGTAAAAGTATAAGACTGCATTTTGGTTCCCCGTGTGTAATAAGAACAAGCAGTCCATAATTTATAAACTAGTCTGGGTTTTTCTGGATTCTTGTTTTGATAAAAAACAGATGTTGGTTCTCCATCTTTGTTTCGACAGAGTAGAAAAGAAAAAGATTTAACGCTGAGGATCAGGTGAGGCTTAGAGAAATGGACCAGAGCAAAAATTTTAAAAGAAAAAATGAATTTGAATTGATAACATGAAAAAACCGAGAGGGATTTTGTGTAGAAAGGTGAGACTTTAATCTACTTCCATTAACTATTGCTAATAATCTCAAGCATCAAATCAAAGTCTTAATTTTATAAAATAACGGTCGATCTAAGTTCATTCTGTTGTTGCAGAACGTCCAATTCTTACACCTTTTTGGGTGCAACAGTGTTTATGTAAAATGTTTATTGTCCACTAGGGTGCTTAAAAAGTCACATTAAACATTGCATGATAAAAATAGGTGATAACATCTCACTCATGTGCTTCCGTGGACTAGCCAGCAGCATGGACAGACTGACTCTAAACGTAGAGGTCAAACTCTGAACAGACTCTAAACGTAGAGGTCAAACTCTAAACAGACTCTAAACGTAGAGGTCAAACTCTAAACAGACTCTAAACGTAGAGGTCAAACTCTAAACAGACTCTAAACGTAGAGGTCAAACTCTAAACAGACTCTAAACGTAGAGGTCAACCTTGGACTGTTTCACATCTGCAGACAACTCAAAGAGCAGCTGCAAAGCTTTTCTTAGCCAACAGAGGCCTCCCTGTGCTTTGACCAAACGTTTTCTGCAGGTCATTTTGTAATTAAAACAGACTATCTTTTTTTCTCTCTATCTTTTTTCTTGTTTTTTTGATTTTTTATTGCACATATTGGATTAGTGATGCTGGAACAGCCTGGGACTGTTTGGAGTTCGTTTTCCAGAGAACTCGAATCGACACACCGTGGAAACTGTTACACAACGAGCCCAAATGTAGACATGATGTAACGTGATGGATCATCCCTTCAGATACACGCTGCTGCTTCGAGGCTTTGATGTCCAGAGCATCTGTCACTGATACTGTGGTGGATTTAATATCTACAACAGATAATCTTTGTCTAAGCTTTCTTATTCCCTATCCTCCTCATTGCCCACAGTATGAGCTCGTATCGCCTCTCAGATGTTTGGATAGAAGTAAAAAACTTTCGGCCGCTTTCTAACATGTTTGTATCTTGACTGAACACATCCCACTCCGTCGTCTCCGGCAAATCTAGATCTTGTGCTCTTTTATTTTGCCAAAACGCTGGAGAAGACTGAAGAGTTCAGCTTTAAACCAGCCCATTTGTCATAAAAACAGCTATGGGAAAACATTTACGACCGTACCTTAATCTGACTAAATCATTACGCCTATTAAACACCCAACATCGCTTATGAGATCTTTATCTCAAAGCACAAAACCTGGATTTAGAGCCTTTAAAGTCCTCCAAAATGTCAGCGGATTGATGTAGCGTCAGTGTGTGAGTGTGTGTGTTCATACTTTTGTGGGTTTCCAATTCTATGCTCAGTGGCAACTGGAGACAGATACTGGGATTACACAGTGAAGATGGACCAGGAGACAGGAAGCAGTGATTGCTGTGTGCTGTTAATGTCAGGGAACAAAAACTTTCACTCCAACACAGAAACCTGAGTTTAGTTCTGTTTTATGTGACATTTGGTGTAAAATTTTCTCTAGAGCCTGTTTTTTGGAATCGATTTTATTCATCTGTGTCAAAATTAACAGTGGAATTAGTGAAAGAAACTACAAATTTCACTTCCAACATATTATTGTGCATTTTATCTCAATAAGCACATTAGGTTTTCTAATGTGACAAAATGTGAGAAAGCCTAGCAGGTCCGAAAGCTTCTGCGAGACGCTGCAATTGACAAGGAACAAATCAAGTTTGATGTTCATAATCTGAGACGCTGAAAGGAACTTCCTAATTGTTCTTGCTTGACATCTGCATTACATGCATGAAAACATAGATGGAAATAATTAGTGGCCATATGATTGGGTATATGTTGCGCATGATGGCCGGAGGGCAAATCAGAACCCTGTGTGCTAATGTCATTTTCTGCAACGTCTCTGCCCTAAAGGTCACTTATGTCTAAAAGTTGAATGAGGTGATGAATCGTTCCCTACATGGTTGCGTATAAAAATGCTGACTGAGCCCAACTCCAAAAAGATGTGGAATAAGGGAAATGTATTGACAGGGACATAACTAGTTTAAATTTTAGGACTGGTGGTGAAAGCTTCGCTCTGCAGGGAAGCTTTCACCATTAGAGGAGCGTTCAGTATGACTTTCTGGTAGCTGAGGATGTCTATGGCCTGGAGCTTTTCTCAACAGTAATGGAAAGCAACATCTGACTGGAACATTAAAACTGCGCTGATAATGTGGCTGGAGCCATTCGAGTGAGTCAAATGACTCGGCAACTGAAAAAGGACAGAAATCGTCAACTTGTTTCTGTTTCACACAAGAAACAGAAACATAAATTCCAAGAAGAGCCTCTATGGAATTTATGCGTGTGAAATGTATTGTATTCGAGTTCCAGAAGCTCCTTCAGGCCGCAACAGGAAGGGACAAAGTAAGGCCCACTCTATTAAAACAAATTTACACCAACACAAGCAAATACCATGAGGGACATATTCTGGACAAGGCGATGCAGAACATCGGAGAGAGCCACTTCCTGAAGCCCGCTCTCTACCTCACAGCGTTTGGGCAGAAGGAGGAGGAAACTCTCGATGTTACGGACATCGTCTCTCCCCACGGCGTTGCCAGTCTGTCTCTCCACACGGCCTGTAACGTGAAATCCAGTGATCGAGACACCCACCTCCTGTTCTCCAGGTTTGGTCTGCAGGAATTGGTAGGTCCTCGTGGATCGCTGTACTCCATCTTGGGGATCCACGAGGCCACCAATTACCAAAGCAACCTCGACCACCTGGAGATGAGCCTGCAGCCAATATTGCTGTACCTTTTCAGCGCTGAGGGAAAGCTTAACTTCGTACAGCTCTACGTCGACTCTCCTCATGTGCACGTAAAAATGCCGTACAGACACCCTGTCAGTGGTGTGCTGGTGACCTGCCGTCTCTCACATCCACAGTTCCAGCGGGCACTTGTGTCAAGGGCATGGCAGTACTTAGAGCACATGGAGGACCTGACGAACAAAATGGACATGCAGCTTGGTCTTCGCTTAGAGCACGTGAGAGATTTGAAAGTGGGGAGATACCAGGGGAGATTGACCCAGTGGAGTCATTTTGTATAAATGCCCTCCACATGCTGTTCACCGAGAACGCCCTGGTGGTCCCTTTTAAGGACAGGTGTGGACAATGGGCTGTCGTCAACTCTCCAAAAGGTGCTGTGCTACTTTGTGAAGGAGCTGCACAGCATCCTGAAAGACAACATGGGAGTGGCCAGATATGACCCGAGCTGGCGGTCATTTCAACTCGAGCTGGCGCTGGAGGAGCTCTTTTACGGACATCCTCTGTCCCTGTCGGACTTCCAGCTGAGTGTGAGCCTGGGGACCAACACCGTCAACCCCAAAAGCCTTACTCACACCCGAGGCTTTATCGGGTTGGCTCCACCGCTGGAAGTGCCGGCGAGGTCCCGCCACCCCCCTGCACCACTGGACGCGAAATGACCTCCAAAAGAGGCTGGAACACATATTTCCAGTGTGCCAGGCTCTGGATGCTGTTCCAGCTCTCTTGGGAGCTAGGGTCATTTGCCTCCTCCTATGTGATGTCTTCCGGAGGAATGACGACATTCCCTTTGCTGCCCTGAAAGGCGAGAGACCACCAGGTCGTCTTACTGGTAGCATTGACCTAGAGCTGTTCTGCGAAGACCTCAGCGTAAAGAATAGCTTCCCGGCACCACTGACATTTGGGAGGGCGCGCGAGATCATGGTGGAAAAGGGAGTGAATGTCAAGAAGTGTCTGATTGAGGGCTTTGTTGTAGAAAAGTTTCGTTTCTTCCCGCACATCAAGTTAGGGTTAGGGTTGGACAATGTGTCTTAAGGCAGATTAAAAAAATGTTGTCTTACATATTTTTTAAAAATCCACATATATTTTCTATTTTATGTTTTATGTTCCTCTTAACACATTTTACATTAAACTGCTGTATGTATATTGTTTGGCTTTTGCTGTTGTAAGTGTAATTAAATCTAAGGCCATTGAAGATGTGATTTAATCTGGTGGAACAAGTTAAATTATTCTAAGCTCCAGATACGAAGGTGAGAAAGTTGAGCTTTAAAATTTGCTTGTATCCATGTTTTGCACTAAGAAAGCAGAGCAAGCACTTGACGTTCCCTCTTCACAAATTATCATTCCTTTGTATTTTATGGTGCATTCACCCCCTAAAATATGCCCCGTTTAGTCCGCTTTAATCAATCTCTAATGTGTTTAAGTCTGTTTTTTTTTGTAGAGGTCTGAACATGCAATCCAACTCTGATGCAGATCAAATAAGCAAATTTTGGTCTGCCTAAAAAAGCCAGGTGTCGGTTCGGTTGACATAAAGTTCGGTGCGGCTCAAATGCATATGTGAATGCCAAGCAGACTCCATTGTTAATATTTGCTATTAGTGCAAAAAACTGTGAGTTGGGGAAAATAAGTTTAAATCATTACATGTGTCGGATTTTAGCAAAGCGAGAACAGTCTGGTGACTTCAAGCATTTCTACACAGATTTTCTGCAATCTCCCGGAGGAAACTGAGTCCCAATTTGTGGTGATAATGACACCGTTTTACCAAAAAGTCAGGACCCTTCTGCCTAAAAATGCATTTGGTATTGAAAACAT